CCATTATTTATTTATTTATTTTTATTTTTATTTTTCAATTTCGTTCTTTTGTGGTATGCACGGGACTGGAGACAAGAACAAATGAACCTTCGTCAATGACCTTGGAGCACCGTACGTATCGTCAGTACCGTATGTATGTAATGTTCAAATCCAGGTTCCCAAATGACGATTCCGGAGACTCGGAGTCAAAAAGTTGACCTTCAACTTGTCTCTGTAGAACATTCCGATGGCTGCACAGAATAGTTTCTTAGAACTGTCAAGATCTAGAAAAACAAGTAATCGTCAGAAGAGTCAGAATTTTGACATCGTCTGGGCATCTTTTTGGGATCAATTGCTTGGTGTGAAGAGTAGGCAATTAAGTAGGACTAATCCGGTGGCCGTGCCACCCATCAATCGTGGGGAAAGGCTCATCGTCTCGTGGTTCCTCCGTATTAATGGAAACGGCGATTACTTTACCATTGTAGTACCTGGAATACAAGTGCAAAGTCACTGACTACTAGTGAGTGACGGATTCATTTAAAGAACTTCCACCCCCGATCGACCTCTCCAAGAAAACCGCCCCCTCCTCGTCCTCCTCCCTCTCCCTCTCCCTTATTTTTCGCTGGCCCTTTCTTGTCTTCAAGGATCATTACTTGTTGACTCGTTTGGTGTTAAATCCCCCTTCAACGAGGACCCACGGAGATCTCGTTCGTTACTAGTTTCCCTCGTTTACTGACTCCTTTCCTCCTCTCGGCGGCGATTTTGTCCCGCGGTCCTTCATTAACTGGCGTGCCCGTTGATTGGGTCTTGATTCTCATATATTGTCCAATAATCAGTGGTCCTGCGACAGGTCTTATTTAATTGATTCCTCTCTCGCTCTCTTTTCGGTAGGTTCACTCACTTTTTCCTTTTTTTTTTTTTTTTTTTTTAGCTGAGGTGAAAAACGTGTGTTTGGGATTGTCATTGGAAAGTATGATAAACCTGCTTTTAATTTTTTTTAGCGTAGGGATCAATGCCCGTAGTGCTATTTTATTTTGTTTTTCTTTGCTTTTCTTTTTCCCCTGGGGTTCGATCTATATCTTCTGATACCGATAAGCTCCAGTGACGAGGGGAACAAAAGCAAAGGAAATTGTCAACTAGACTGGTGGCTAACGCCCACATCTTAGTGCCTGCTGCAGTCTCCTGTATAAACGTCACACATCACTGCACATTCCCTTGTCACAGTACTTATATTATCGGCATTATGGTTCGCATTGTTTCTTCTCTGCTCCTGGCCTCTTTGGCCTCCACATTCGCTTGGGCCGACACTATCAAGTGCGACGCTAATAACAAATGTCCGGAGAAATACCCTTGCTGCTCGCGTGAGTTCTCTTCCCTATTCGAACATAGTGTAACGCTCGTGCTAACGTTTCTCCGTTAGAATATGGCGAGTGTGGAACTGGCGCTTACTGTCTCGGCGGCTGTGATCCCATGCAGTCGTTCAGTCTTGACTCCTGCATGGCCGAGCCGGTTTGCAAAAGCAAGACCTACAAGTGGGACAACCTCGACAGTGCTGCGCTGAACACCAAGTATCTTGGCAACGCATCAGCGTCCGATTGGGTCTACAGCGGTTTCCCCAAGGTTGAGGATGGCAACCTGATCCTCACCATGCCCAAGAACAGCGTGGGTACTTTGTTCGCAAACAACCACTACGTCTGGTATGGTAAGATCAAGGGAAAGGTAAAGAGTAGCCGTGGCAAAGGTGTCGTGTCTGCTTTTATCCTGCTTTCGGACGTCAAGGACGAAATTGATTTTGAGTTTGTCGGCTACGACTTGGATAACGTTCAAACCAATTACTACTGGCAGGGTGTTCTGGACTGTAAGTGATTCGTCTGCCCCAACGGTGGAATAGCTGACGCTGACACTGACGCTTTGGCTTAGATAACAATGGTGGAAAGGCTCCTACGGGCAGCAGCACTTTCGACGACTGGCATGAGTATGAAATTGACTGGAAGCCCGATGCCATCACCTGGTCAGTCGACGGAAATGTCAAGCGGACGTTGACCCGGGAATCAACCTGGAATGAGACCGCAAAACGCTACCAATTCCCTCAGACCCCCTCGAGAATGCAGTTGTCTCTGTGGCCCGCCGGTCAGGCAAGCAACGCTGAAGGTACCATTGAGTGGGCCGGTGGTGAGATTGACTGGGACAGCGAGGACATCAAGGACAAGGGTTACTACTATGCGGAATTCGGAGAGATCACCGTTGAGTGCTATGACCCTCCGTCAAACTCGGGAGATGGCAAGAAATCGTACATCCTTACCAACAAGGACGGCCTTGAAGGCTCCTTCAAGCTCACCAACAACGACACTGTGCTCGCCTCTCTTGGTGCTACCGGTCTCGACCCCGATCTCGGCGCCAGCACCTCTTCGTCCTCGTCTTCGAGCTCGACCACTAGCAACAGCGTTCCTGAAAACCGCGGCGGCTCTGGTAACGAGCCTGGTGCAGGTGGCTCAAATAGCACCAGCACCGGCAGCAGTGGCAGTGGCAGTGGCAGCGGTGATTCTGGATTCAGCCAGGGGAGCAACGATGACAGCAATAACAGCAATAATTCGAATGGCGCTGCCTCTGCGAACGAGCGTGTCATGAAGGGTTCCTTCTTCGCTGTCTTGGTCGCTGTCGTTGTGCTGGTTGCTCTATGAACCAGTGATTAACAATTTTGGGCCCTTGCCTTCATTCTTGAATATTCTTCTCTCTCTTTTTTTTTTTTTCTTTCTTTTCTTGGGTATATAACACTTACCCCCCTTTCTCCATACCAACGTGGTTTTGGTGTGTCTGTCCTGTTAAATTTACCTTCTATACATGGCGGTCCCTCACTCTTCATGTCTGTCGCCTTATACCAGTTAACTACTTTATTCTGATTGGATGTCCTGATGCTTTTAATGATCGCGCGTGGCGATGCCGCAAACGGCGCATTGCATGCCGTTTGATACTCATTCTAATACCCTTGTTTGCGTTTTGATGCTAGTATATGTATTTTTAATTGATTGGCTCGGTGTGGATGAGTATCGGATCAATGAATATAATTTTCTTCACAGCTTTCTACTTTTGCTGTAGTCCATCCGCATGTTTCGTATACATTGTTCATTCTGTATATTTCCCTTCAACGGCAACACTGCTTTCACCAGGCTCTTTCAAGTACAATCATTGATAGAACCTTTATTCCTGACTACAACAACGAAACCACAATGCCAACTCATTGTTCCCCTACACTCAAGATGAACACGATCCATCCAATTCCAAATAACCCACGTAATAAGACACAAGAACAACCATACCAACTAAGTTAAAAACTTCAAATACAAGCTGAATCCCACCCAGTCCCACCCAAAACCCTCTACATCTCGTAAACTCCCCACATCCATACCTGATATTCACCATCCCAGCAACCCAAGCAACACATCAACGAACAAACCCAAACACCACCACCAATAACAAAAACAGCAATCACGGCATCCAAAAAAAAAAAAAAAAAAAAAGGAAAGAAAAAGAAAAGGAAGAAAAAAATGTGCTACTACATCCAAATCACCTACCTGGACTGTCCGCACACCAAGTTCGAAATCGATCAATTGTGTTATCACGTCCTGGAACAGCTTCAGCGGATTTATGATTCCCAGGAATCTGAGAATAATATCCCTTTTAATGTCCCCGATTGTTGTCCTGATGGGGTTGATTGGGTAAATGGGGGGAATATAAGGGGTGAGAGGGTGGATGAGGGTGGGTGTTTTGAGTGTTTGGGGTTTTGGTGATTCGGCTTTTCTTCTTCTTTTTCTTCTTTGGTTGGTTTGTATGTGTATTTTTCCTTTCTTTCTTTATGGTGGGGAGGGGGTTTGGGGTGGGATTTTGGAGTTTGTTGGGGGGTTTACTTATAGATTGGTGTTGGCTGGCGTTTTGTTGTTAGGGTTAATTTGTCATAAGAGATGTATACTACGTACTTATTGGATACCAAACTATTGTTGATCCGTATCAGTTATAATGAGCTCGTATATCAAACTACAATCATGGAGATATCAATCCTTTCACACAATTTCACAAAGCAGTACATCTATAGCAGAAGCCAAAACCAACATATATAGAATCATAGATTAAGCCTAGAACGCCAATTCCAAGAACGCTAGATGGTCTGTGGTATCTTTCAATGCAGTTCTCCACAGCCACATTCCCTCGTGTCTAAGTCCATGGAGCGCTTCTTGAATTCTCCATGGTAGGTATCCAAGCCCTCGGTGCGGACGGCTTCGCCCAAGGGGTCTCCCAACCAGCTGAGAGATGTGAAGGTGGAGGGTTCAACCTCAGGCTTCCATGCCCACTCGCTAGGCGTTTGGAGTCGCCTGGTGACTTCTTCCACGTCTACTTCGAGATAGTCGGAGAGGAAGGCACCGACGTCGGTGTTCTCGTTGTTGCCCACCAGACGCCAGGCGTCCTTCGTCGAAGAGGCATAGATGTTCACGTCGACGGCTAAACCATGGGTTGTTAGCTTGTACGTCTACTACCGAGAAGGGAGGGGGAGGGGAACATACCTGAATGTCCATGCGTGGACCAGCCGATCTGCGCCCTACGGCTGATGATTTCGGCAAAAACGTAGTCTTTAGTATAAGGCAGTTTGGGATCAAGAAGATGGTCGATTTCCGCATCCGTCGCATCGAAAACGCCCAGGGATTTCTCCAATAGTTCGCGAGCGAATTTGCGCTGAGACTTGGCATCCGTATTCTTGGAGAGGTATTCCCTGAGTGCTGCGCCGGCAAACTCAGAGGAATGGCTAGCGTTAGCTAAGACGCCTGGCAGCCATTTGTACTCCGGATAAGCGTCATGCAGCTGTCGGGCCGCAGCCAGACCGCCCGTTTCGTGGTCGGAGGTACTGACCACCACTCCTGGGGTAGAGTCTTGCTCCAGGAACTCAAGGACGGCTGCGAAGGCCCGGTCGTAGGCTAGGACTTCGTGGACCTGTGCTGCGGGATCGTTTCCGTGTCCGGCGTGGTCGATGCGGGAGCCCTCGATCAAAATGAAGAAGCCCTTGTCGCTGTCTGCGGTGGCTTGGCTGAGGGTCTTGAGTGCGGTACGGGTCATTTCTTCCAGGGATGGGTATACACCGTCCTGGCTGCGACGGTCGATTTCATAGGGGATGTCCTTCTCCGCGAAGAGACCCAGGAGCGGCAGCTTGGCTTCCGAGCCGCCGTTCAGGGCATCGAAGGCCTTCCGGTCGTTCAGATAGTGGAAGCCCTTTTGGCTTGCGATCTCTACTAAGTCCCGGTCATCGCCACGGCAGCTGCCTTCCGTTGTATTGGGGAGGAAATGGCAGCGTCCACCACCGAACATCAAATCCACTACATGGCCTAGCGGGTGTTCGCCGATCTCCTGCTCCGCAATACGATCCTCATATTGGCGAAGGTTGACATGCGAAGCAAAACAGGCAGGGGTAGCATCCGTAATCCGAGTGGTGACGACCAAACCGGTCTTATAACCAGCCAAGGCAGCAGCCTCAAGCACAGTTCCACAAGGCGAGTGGTCAGGCAGTACGGAGATAGCTCCATTGTAGCTCTTCTGGGCGCACGAGAAGGCAGTAGCACCGGCCGCCGAATCGGTGACAAGGCTGTTGCTGGATCTCGTTCGGGAAGTACCAATGATGTGGTCATCCAGCACGAGGGTCTGGTCCACGGGCAGTCCCTCCGTGAATTGTCTGTAGTTTCTAGTCATAGTCAAACTAGTGGGTCCCATTCCATCGGAGACCATGAAGATCAAGTTCCGCTTTCCGGTCGGCTTGCCTCCGGGGCCCCAGGGTTGCTTTGCGTTATGGTTTTTGCTCGTTTCATGCTGGTAAACTACGGCGAGGACTATCACGGCGATGGTAGCAATGAATGCCCAGGAGAAGAGACCGACGTCTTTCCAGAAGGCCCATTTGCTGCGTTGCTGTTCACGGTGGGTGCGTTCGCCTGTTAGTAAGGCATCCTCTTCTTCTGCATTCCGAATCGAGGAGTGGTCGGAGGAAGGGCGCGGAGCCAAAAGGGGCTCTTCTCGCGCCATGGCTGACGGATTGCCTTCAGAGATCGACTTAGATGCTTAATTGCAATGGGGCTGGATCACAGACATCGGATAGAGAGGTGTTATGGGAATGAGGAGAAAGGGAGACGGTGAGGAGAGATCGATTCAGGTGAGTTGGGGTATGGGCTTGGCACGGGGCTTTTGATACGTCACGTTGCCCAGGGGGGCCTGAAATTGCCGTATTCAGTTAGTCTCCTCTGCATAGTCGAACTATTGGTAGATCATTTCGGAGTACTCTGAACATGGCATATAATATTACACAATTCTAAAAGTTTGATATAGTTGTACAAGATTCCTCCGACGAAGAGCATCTACCGTCCCTTCCACCCAATCGGAATCATAGCCGCCGCGATCTCAGACACTCCTCTTTCCGTCGCAAGCAGATTGAACTGTGCAGCGGCATTCCTAGTATCCAGAACCTCAACACGAACACCCAAGGCATTGATTTGTCTCCTGGTCTCAGGGGAAAGAGGAAAGACAGAAGCGCCCATACCAATAATCAAGAGGTCTGCCCGTAGCATTCAGTTAGCAAAAGCCCCCCCCAAGAAGAGGATCAGAAAGAAAAAAGAAAAAATAAAAATAAAAATAAAACCTACCGGGGCGAGGCCACACGAGTCCTAAAAGACCCCAAGCTTGTTCGTCAACCTCAAACTGGCCTTTCTTGTTCACCATAGCATTCTTTTCCCCACTCATCGCTGTCCACGGCCTCCATGAGAAAGCTTCGCCTCCAACAAGCAACAGACCATCGCCGTTTGTGAGCTTGAGGCCATTATCCAAATGAAATCCATTGTCTAGACAAGCATCAATAGCGGTAGTAGGTGCGGGGATATTTCCGAGCACGTTCAGCGCAGCAAAGTCCGTTTGCGTATCTTCTGTTGACTGCGGGCCCCGATCGCGGCTCGCTGGCTTTGCGGTGTGTGCACGAGGTACCATCCGTACGGGGCGGGCATGGCTGCTGTTGCTGCGGTATGTTTGTACGTAGGGGGTGATTCGAGAGATGGGAGATACCCAGCGGGCGTTCGCGCAAAGTTGGTTGGTAACCTTGGGAGCCGAGATGGATGTGCGCAAAGCGCGGAGCAATTGGGGTGTTGGAGGGTGCATCGTGACGATGATGTGAATGTAATATATTCCTCGGAAATAATTAGTATTGGCTTGTCGAGTTCGGGACCTAGTCAAAGGGATCCGGTCAAAGGGATCGAGAGCGAAGTAATACGAGTGGAGATGGAGATTTAATCTGGAGTTGCGATGATCGATAGCCCGTGATGTAAACGATACCTGACAGCCTCAGGCAACAATGATGAGTAAGACTTCGTAGTATCGGTTATCATTGGACCATTCAACTCAAGTAGATCCAGTGAAGTTATTTACATCTGCCTCCATTATCCTTCAAGGTTGCACGTTGAAAGTTAGGATAGCGGAGTGCAACAGAAACTAACAGCACTCGTTGTGCTAAGCCGGGCTAGTTCTGGATGGGATACTGCCATCTAAACTAAAAGCAGAGACCTATTATCATCAAATGCCCGCAGAAGTTTCCACAAAGTACTCCGTAAGGTTAACACCAAATAGCACTACTAGTATGTCGTTATAGAAACTGTTTCACTCTTTCCTTAAGCCTATTGTTGCAATGCTGCCGTAGAAGCTCCGCCTCCTGTTTGAACGTCCAGTCATATATCTGGTCGTCTCTGAACCCTTCACGCCGAAACAGTTTCCGGAAAGTCTCTCGCAGATAGGCGTAGTCAGGCGTCGCCTTCAAAAAGACATGCAGGAAGTATAGATTGAACGCAGGCGGCAGGCCTTTGCAAAGCTGTTCGACATGTATATTGCGCTTCATCTCAGCCACGGCTATTTGTCTCTCCAAGTCTGTACCAGTTGTTGCCCAGAACCTCTCCCACGGAAGGTGGCCTTTGAGGAAACGAATGAGCACATATCCTAGGCTTTCCATGTCATCGCGGGGGGATTGTTCTATATCTGATTAGCAATCTCATCCCAGTATACAACAGAAGTGAAAGAGTGAAAGAGAAAAGAAACGTACGCTTCGCATAATGCGCCCGCCAACCTGCATATACCTCTGTCCCCTGCAAACCCACGCCAACCCCGGGATTCCTCTCGCATTGACGCCTATCGTGACGCTCCCGCTTCAAAATCTGATGGTCGCTCAGCGCACTATACCTCTTGACGAAGCCCAAATCCGCCACATAGACCCTGTTCGCCTTCCTCCCAACTCCTATAAGAAGGTTTTCTGGCTTAATATCTCGATGGACACAGTTTCTCGAGTGAAGCTCCTGAAACCGACATATCAACTGATCTGCCAGTAGGAGTACAGTCTTCAGGGAGAATCTGCGCCCACAGTTGCGCCACAAATGGCCCAGGCTGGGCCCCAGGAGCTCAATGGCTGTGGCATGGTATCGTTGATCTTGTCCTGCCCAGTAGAACTTCGGGACTCCCATGAGTCCAGCCAGGTAGCGATACCCACTGACCTCGCGATGATACGATCTGTAGCCTGCTGGCTCATGATAGAGCTTTATGGCTAGTTCTTTGCCCGTTTGGTGATCTCTGGCTTGGAGAGCTATCAGGTCTGTAGGTCTCGACTTTTGTTGAGCTGGGCCGTACCTATGTATACACTGCCTTCGCCGCCACTATCTATAGGGCGGATTAGCTCGAACCTGTTATTTATGAAGTTTTTCTGCGGTGGAGTCCATGTTAGGAGGCATTCTTGGGTGTGGAAAGACTGACATACCAGTGGCAGCGGTTTCATAGTGGAGGTATGATAGGTCCTTGCATGGTTTGGTTTAGGTGGGAGATAGGCGCTGGGTACAGTATTTAATCATACCTAGCATTTACTCGGGACTATATCTCTTTGTTGAAAAAAGAATGGGTTTGTTCTCATGGAATGGACCTGTTCCTTCTTTCCAGCATTGGTACTTGACTGACTCAAAGAGCAATGGTCTGTCTACTATTCCTATGGTCCTACAGGACAAGCGTGCACACATATAACAAGAAATAGGTAAATACCGGCGGCAAACAGGTTCATATCGATTGCAACCGGAAAAGAACCGATGAAGGAACTCTCAGGACCAGCCTGATCAGTCTATAAGGGTGCATGATCCGTTCAACGAGCGGTCTTCTATTGCAACTCACTGCAAGCCAGCAGCTTCATGTCATAGACGCAATGCATGACCCCCGGCGCATAAGTCTTGACCTGCTCGACATGTCGACATTCCGCCAAAGCAACAGCAGGATCCTGCATCCCAAGAGCTTCAGCCCGCAACCTCCCAATCTCCAACGTGAAATCCCCCTTCTTCTGCTCGATCTCGCGGACGTCCACATTCTCATGCATATGGACCCAACCGCCCAACTCCGCATCAATCATCCTGCACGCATTCCCCCACGCATCAACAGACGTCGGAAGAAGCCCTAAGTTAACATGACGAATGCGATTCCACTTCTCCTTCCCCTTCCCCTCCATCACACCACGAATCTCCCTCAAAATATCTGCCGCAAACCGATTGTCTCCATGAAAGAGGACCACGCGATCTGTATCCTTCAAGCTGCCCACCAAGTCCAGCAAACTCTCACTCAACCCTCCATCCTCGCGGACTCTAACAACCCTACACCCCCAGCCATTCTCCTCACACCCTCGTCGAAGCCCTTCAACCGACCACCCATTGATTTCCCACCCCCAAACCCGCTTCACCCCCCGTTTTAAATACGAGAACACAAAATACCCAATCCCAGCATACATATCCACAATGCCCACATCCGAAAGAGTCTGCCCGCCCAACTCGCCCACTTCCAGCCCCTCAAACGGCGCCGGCCCATGGCCCAAAACCCGCGCTTTCTCAGTAACGTTCCCGCGCGAGAACATCGTATAAAGCGGCGCCCAGACCTGCACAATCCCATGGTTCTGCATCGTGCGCACCCAGAACGCCCGTTCCAGGTCCTCGTCACTCGGTTGGCACTCTTCACCAGCGGAAGAAGAAGAAGAAGAATCAGTACTAGCACCAGCAGGAGGCCCAAAGTCGCCGTACAGCGGGACAAGGCCCGCGGGACTGCGCATGCGGTTCTCGTGGCCTTGTGTGTCTGTTAGCGCTATGGGCGCGTTGATGGCAACGTGCGTTACGCCCATGCGGCTGAAGGCCTTTACCAGCGAGGCGTAGAGGGCCTGTTGCTGCGGGGCTGTTAGAGATTGGTACAGGGCGCCCCAGGCTGAAGGGCTGCTGAAGGCATTCACGGGGAGGAGGAGCATGGGCTCATAGACTGTGAAGCGTTTTGGGAGACTTGTTTGTAGGGTCTCTGGTGAGAGGCCATATTGGGAAAGTGTTTCTGGGGGGATGTTGTTTGTCACAAAGTCTTGGATGCCGATTTGGAGCGGGTTGAAGGATTTCTGGTGTGGTTTTTTGCTGCCTTTTTCATGGCGAGTGAGCTTTTTGGTGGTGGGGAGCTGTGATAGGGGTGTTGTTGTTGTTGTTGTTGTTGCTGTTTCTTGGTTCATTTTTGATATTTGTGTTGGGTTGGGTATTGGGGGTTGGTGGGATTTGTATGTAGTACTGGATGTATATCTTTCCTTTTTTATATGCAATTATGATTCTTGTGGTTGCATTTTGTGTCTGGGTTTATATATCGTTGGTATTCAGTGGATATGTGACTTGGTAAGCAGGCACAATTTCTCCGCAAATAGGCTGATAACGCCTGCAGATTTGCGATCTTAGAGTCGCTGTTTTATTGTCTCTATTTTATAGTCGAGCTCGGCGGACTTCGTTAATTTTCACAAATCGTCAATTTCTGATGATATTTTCCACTTTTCACTACCTGTGTCATGTGACCGGTATCTACAATACGGTATAGACTGAGCGATAGAAATATTTACGTATGTCCTCTTTAAATATCTTCTTTACTTGGTGGACTTGCGCCTCAGGATTTGGGGAAGGAGTGTTGGCATCATAGATCCACGATACGCTTTTGCGTCAAAAACGAACCATGCATTCTTGAAATGCGCATATAGTACAACGTGCCAAGTTCTTGTAGAACTTACACGAGACTCTCTACTGAAACAGAATGATGTTAATGCATGGATCTTCGTCTTCATATTAGGATATATTGAAAATGCGACGTGAAAGTAGTATGGTACTAAAGATAGTCCATGAGATGGCTGGGAATAACAGAAAGCAGGTAGAAACAGCCAATGCTAAGAGGAATACATTGGATGCCTCAAACTGGGGAAGGTGAAGGGATGCGTGACTAGATGATTGATTAATTAAAGAGAGTAGATAAAATCAAACCCGCTGTTGTCAACTATGGTTATAAGGCACAACACCAGAATGAGTCGTAACGAACGTAAGCTCTTAGTAAGTAATATGGGGAAAGACGGTCAATAATCCGTCACGGAGTATCCTAACCTATCATTTGCATCAAGCACTCTGGAATTCAGATTAGCACTGTTAATGGGGCCCAAGCAACAAGGATTACTTACGAGTATTGTTTGGTTAGGGTTCCTTCTCCTCCTTTCGAAAGATCGATGCTAAAAACGTAGAAATTGCCGTCGCTAGTCACCACCATCACTTGGGGCGTGTTGTTGCTCATTGCTACAACACTTCGCAGGGGTCCGGTGTTGCCATTACCCCCGGGCCCGGGATTCGACTTCGGAAGTTTGATCCAGGCAAAGTCTCGCGCTGGTTCCCACATCTCACTAACACCTTTCGGAAGATAACCACCCACCTTGGCAGCAAATGAGTTTCCGACATTTTGTGAGGTTCGTCGGATCATGCCCATCAGGGTGCCATTGTGTTTCCTAGAAGAGAATTCGGCCGAGTCTTTGTCACCACCTGTTTCATCCTCATCCGGAGAGTTGCTTAGAGAGCTCTGGCTCATGGTTCTTTGGGGCACCGAAGGGGATGCCAGAGAATTTTCCGAAGATTGACCTTGACTCAACTTGAACAGATGTATAGTTTCGGTGGAGGATGAGACGCAAAGGAGGGTGGAGGTCGTGTTGAACGACATGCTGTAGATCCTGGAAGGTATCGAGCCTCGCCTGAATTGATATAACTTGTGTCCGTCAGGAACGGAGAAGACCCGAATGATAGTCCCTTTATCAGAAGCGGTAGCTATCAGAGTACCATCACTGTTGAGAGTTATGCATGCTAGTGGAGATCGATGGGCTTCTATGACATTGATTGCTTCTAGCTTCAGTGTATCGAATATCAGTACTTCGCCGCTCGTAGGTGAAATATGTGTGTTCCCGGGAGGCGCATGGGACGGAGGAGTAAAGGATGTAGGCGGAGCTTTATGTGGAAGAGGGTATGCGAGATAGCAATTATCGGAGGAGGGAGACAGAGCACAGATTGCTGTGAGATGTTAAAATCAGGGCCAAATCAAAGATGGTCAAGAATATAAGCCCTTACCACTTGGATTTGGAGACGTCTCGATGGTATATAGTAGCTTCATGGTCTGGATGTCATAGAGATAGATCTGGTCTTCTAGAACGATGACGAGCCGTTTCCGGTTTAATTTAACCGCCAGGACAGTGGTGGGAAACGTCAACTCGCATATTGTGGATTGGCGCTATAAGAACCCGGGAGATGTTAGAATAGATTCTTAAGGACATGTAGAGTCACAGGCAGTGAAACGCATTAGAGGCTGGGTGGTTCAAATGACTCGATTCTTCATACGGGAGGCGATACGGTCCTTGATTTGCATGCGCAAGGATTCTACGAACCTTTGTATTAGTGATTTGCAAGCGACGTGGTGAGAGAATCAACGCGACCAAAGATGTCGAAAATAGCATCTCGATTATAGCAATGTTCCCTTCTTTGGTCTCATAGCTCTTGGCGAAAGGGTCTGTTGTGAATATGCGAAACCCCTTGGCAGTCGCTGCAAGCCGTTAAGAAACATCCTAAGAAAGAATGAAATGGCTTAAGGGAAGTCCTTACCCACAGCCAAGTAGCTGTAGTCCTGGTTGAAGGTCACGAAGTTCATTGCCATCTTGTCTGGAGGCGATCGAGTGGAGCGATGACGTCCAATCCAGTTCTCTTCTCTAAAGTGTACTGTAGACTTGGAAAAGCGACAAGAATAGTATATATATCTTCCAGAGCTTAGCAAAGTAGAGCAGCGAGACCGCGCTTCCTTTATGGAATCAATAAAATTTATTGTTCTTTGAGCGGAGGGGTACAACCGATCCCATCACAGGGCAGCTTCACGTTACTGACGATCGTCGCCGGACATCTCTCGTTCTCAAACGGCGTTCGCGACAAAGCTCCACGGTGAGTTATTCCCTACAGGGCAAATACGCACGGATGCGATCGTCGCTGGACGAAGAAGACGTTGGGAAACGAGCAGTTAAGTTGACCGCGGAGAGTCCGGGGGATCGCTGAACAGCAGTTCGTTCTGCCGCGGTCTGAATGCGTCAGGCGTCAGGCGCGGCAAGCGAGCCGTTCTTCGGACGCTCGGGCCACATCTTGTTCTTCGGCGGGTAAAAAAAATATTAGAGGGCGGGCGCTATTTAACCCACAGAACAAATCCATGCAACTTCCCTCTTCACAGTCCAGAGAAGGTCATTGCACTATGGGATCTGCAAAGAAACCAGCCATGGCTGGAGTTAACTCTAAGGCTGAGAGGGAAGCCGACTTGGTTATGGGGGTGAGTTTATATGAATTGTTGCGGCGCTGCACACATCCCCACCAATTGCTTGCCTAGTCTATCTGCGCCTAACTATAATAGACAAATAACAGCAGTATTGTCTCCAAACGGAGCGTCGAAATGCTTTACTACCCCAAGCCTCATTTCTTTCGCTACTTCGTCAAGAAACCTCAAAGACGGTCGCCTTTGATCAACCGCGGATATTGGCTGCGCATGCATGCGATGGCGGAGACAGTGCGCAAGTTTATGAGAGAGCCATCAGACAAGCCTAAATTTGTCTTGAATCTGGGATGTGGATTGTGAGTCGTAGAAAAGCTCCCGGGAAGTCGGCCGATCAAAAAGACACCGTATGCTAAGTTAGATTATCGTAGTGATCCGCTCCCATATATGCTTCTCAGTGCCGACAACGACCTGTGTAGAGACACGACCTTTGTGGATATCGATTACGAGAAACTCATGGTTAATAAGAAGACGGCTATTCGCAAGGCCGACGAGATAACACAACTACTTGAGGATGTAGAATTCCTGCCCGACTATAGTGCCGTGCAAATTCGCAGCAAGCACTATCTAGCCGTTGGGTGCGACTTGAAAAACCTCACTAAGTTGGATAACGTGCTTAGAGCAGAAGTCCTGCCTTCTGAATGCGCGGTTCTTTTCCTGGCCGAAGTCTCTCTGACGTATATGGACGTCAAGTCCGCCAATGCGGTTGTCAGCTGGGCTTCAAGGCTAAGCAATGGTCAGAATTACCCCTGTGCATACTTGTCTGAACGTTATCGATTAATGAATGCTGACATTGTAAGTGAAGATGCTCAGTTCTGTATACTGGAACAATTCTTCCCTGATGGCCCAGACCATCCTTTCGCTTCGACAATGATGAAACATTTTAAAAAGCTTGGTGCACCCTTATACTCGATTCACGAATATCCCTCCCTGGACGAACAGGAACAGCGCTTTAAAGACGCTGGCTGGAACCACGCGCATGCTAGAAGTCTCTGGGACTTATGGTCGGACGATGAATTCGTGGACGGCTCGTTGAGAGCGTCACTTGATGCCATTGAGCCTTTTGATGAGTGGGAAGAGTTTGCGCTTTTTGGGTCTCATTACTTCCTTCTGCACGCCTCCACTAGGCCTCGGATCTCGGATAAGGCCACAAGAACAGTAACCGGGCTTGATCCGCAGACGGATAAGTCTGGTCATTTCAAGTTGCTCGCCAAATGCCCCCCTGGAAGTGGCCAAAGACGGTTCGGAGCTGTTATTCCTGACAGTGATAAGGCTGTTGGTCATCACTCTGGCCTCGGTCGGCAGACTCGTTTATCATCAACAGAACTATACACCAAGTCAGAGGGTACCACCAAAACTCATGAGTTCCCTCCCGGAGACATCCCTGCACGGATGTGCCATACAGTGACTGGCTTAAGCAACCAGGATTGTCTTTTAGTTGGTGGCAGAGCTTCACCATCATCAGGGTTCAAGGATTGTTGGGTAAGGCAAGGGAACCAGTGGCGCTCGACTCAGAGCCTTCCGACCCCCCGATTCAGACATAGTGCTGTCAAAGTTACTCTTGATGCTGAATATGTTCTCGTATACGGAGGTAAGACGAGCGATGGCACAACATTAAACACGTGGTTGGCGTGGAGCAGCAAACAACAAGGCTGGCAACAAGTTGAGACCAACGTAATCAATATCAAGGCTCGGTTTGGGGCTTGTGTGGGAAGCATTGACGACACTTCAGGCGTACTCTTTGGAGGAATCGGGGCCGAGGGAACTATTTTGGGGGATTTCTTCACATGGAAGTTGCACCAGCGGAGCGACGGGTCTTTATTCATGGAGCTGACCGACCACACCGAGGACTTGCAGAGAACCTCGTCCTTATTCAATCAAATCCATCGATTTGGAGCGACTGTCAATCAAGCAGCGTGGGGACTAGTCATTGTTGGTGGTATTGTTCCTCGAGAAATCATTACCCATGACAAGGAAATTATGCTTCTTGATTCGACAGAGTTAACTAGATGCATTGCCAGTGGGTGGCCCTCGAACCACACCATCATCTCGGCGCTAGGGCTCGGAAAAAGACTTGATGGCCCGAGACCCTTACTGGTAGGCCATGTCTCCTGTGCCATTGATCCTAAAGAGGTCCTGATATTGGGTGGTGGAGCTGTTTGTTTCTCATTTGGAACATATTGGACCGAGGGCACATGGCTTCTGCAGGACGTGAATTCGACTACTGAAAATGACTGGACCTTGGTTTCAGAACCAGTGGAACAAAATAAGTCGCAGTTGGAAAAAGCGACATCCAAGCCATCAGCGCAATCCCAGAACGAACCTTATGGGGCGGCGGAAGTGATCACACCAATTCCTCGCGTATGTGTCCAGAATTCCGCACAATTTCAAGAAATTTTAGCTGAGGGTAGGCCGGTGATTATCGAAGGGTCGGATATTGGCCCCTGCACAGAACTCTGGACCAAAGAATATTTGACAAGTGCCGTGGGTGCTGACCACAAGGTGGGCCGGAAAATCCAAATGAACTTTGTTGATTTCGTATACTAAATAAACATGAAACTAGATTGTTGTGCATGAGGCACAGTCGGAACACATGAGTTTCCAAACCAAGAATTTCTCATATACAACCAAAACATTCGGCACCTTCATGGACGAGGTGTATGCAGGCGGTCGTCAGTATCTTCGAAGCATTTCTGCCGAACAGCCGACTAAACTACCTGCCAGCCTGGCTGTGGATTTTCCAAGTCTAAGCCGTGATTTTCGCCTGCCAGAGTCGCTCTCCGTAGTAACTGATAACACTCACAGCTCGCCACTTAGGATATCAGGACCGGTCACATTATGGCTTCATTACGACGTAAGTGTGAAGTGAGTTACATGACGTGGATGAATAGGAGTACTGATCCTTATCTCTGTACAGGTGATGGCGAATGTCTTGTGTCAAATCCGTGGCGAGAAGAGACTCATTCTCTTCCCACCAAGTGATGTGCAATACCTTCATGTGCCTCCTGGGGCCTCAAGCTCTACCATCAATATATTCCAAAGCGATGGATCGGTCGCCTCGATTCCCCATACGTCGCCACAAGAAGCAGTCTTGAGGCGTGGCGATATCCTATTCATCCCTCCTTTGTGGCTGCACACGGCATCTCCAACGGGTGATCTCAGTGTTGCTGTCAATGTCTTCTTCCGCAACTTGTCTAAAGGGTATGCAGCTGGTCGGGATGTTTACGGGAACCGTGACCTGCAGGCCTACGAGAAGGCGAGGAATGATATCCAGAAGATGGCTAAGTCCTTCGATGGGCTTCCAAGTGATATGGCCCGCTTCTATCTGCTGAGGCTCGCCCAAGAATTAAAAGACAGGGCAGAAAAATAAGTCACTTACCGTGTCAATCGGACACAGACAAGAAGTTGGATAAGATTTGAGATTTCGCCCTTGATGCCCAATCGCCCAGTAGAAAAAGGACTCATAGATGTGCTGCGCCAAGTAGCGTGGACCTCTGTTTTTGAATGCCCGGGCTCCACCGTTCGGGGCTAATGCATTACTTCAATTGAGGAAAGGCGAGAAAGCTGTCCTCGATCCGGTCGAACCAGCTCATGCGACGACCATTCTGGCAATGCGAGAAGATCGCTACGAACCTCATGAAAGGTGGCCTCGATATTCTATCCGGTAGTTCAAAGAGTATTCCGTCTGGAGAAATGTAAGGAAGCGACCGAGAGTGCCGGTTCAATCATAGCAAAAGTAATAAGTTTGATAGTCATATCTGGCCATGTACGCGCCAGCATACTGTACGAAACACGTCTGGACAGTTGTTGTTGCCTGTGAGTCATGCCAACCCCTTGAAGTAGGAAACGCGCATTGTATTAGTGCCATGTCACAAACATGCATTGCCCGTCTTCATATAGGATGAGAAACCTGAGGCTGCATGCCGACCCTAAGGAACGCCTGCTCTTGTATTATTTACCTATCGGGTGAAGGTATGCGGCACTGTTCGCAGCCAGTTAGAAGCTGGAAGCCGGCGATGGCAGAGTTTCGGGCACGTTGCGCAACGTCAGCATTTATTTGTTTGTTGAAAGAGTAATGGTCGTGTGCCCAATCAGAGAGTTACGACCCGTTAGTGCTATAATCCATGGCCATCTTTAGCGATGAACCAGTGACACATTTCCATGTCCCGTGCTGCAGGTGAGAAGATGCAGGTCCCACTCCGAGGTTCAAACCATCCGCCTTATTATCTAGAGGTAAATGTATTAGGATAAGAATAATACCTTGAGAAAAGTCAAAAACCAGATTGATAATTATTCTGCCACCAATCGGTACCTTTTTCTCTCACCCCGAATCGGAAATAGTGGTGTGGGATAAAACGGGGATTACCAGATCTCAGCGTCATTCAAAGCATTTCCGACTCATGTGTTACTCGTTGAATAATCCGAGGAGTGGGAGGACCCATGACACAGCAGCACCATGGATCCATGCTTGATAGACATGGGTAGGGGATGGGAAGGAGACCATGCGGATGTCCCAAACCAATAATCAAGACCGAGATCGAACCACTTCGTTTAGTGGCTCTGGAGAGGTTGGAGGAACGATCCCATTCGCTGGGATGGACAATCTTGCTCCTTTCCTTGTGTCGCCTTCAGATGGTCCAGAGCGTTGAAAGGGTCCGTCCTCCCGGTCTTATTGGACCTTACCCTTGAAGTGTTGGCGTCAAGACTTCGGGGTGTTCTGTCGAGGTGGTGTGGGGGGGGGGCCAAAGACTGATAATTATTAAGAAAAATAGATTGTACTCCGTACCGTATGTAATCAGTGCGGGCACCTTTTCTTTTTTAGTTCATGCCTTAGGGGTCAGGGAAGGCCTGAGATAGATTTGCAGATTTGAATGGAACTGAACGGATGGAAGGATCATTGGCCGCAAACGGTAATACGGTTGTTATATGTTCTTTTTAGTACCCCGTAGGTCAAATCCCCAATCAGATGTGGGGAACGGATGCCCGAAAAACCAGGATGGCGATATAGTCGTGATGAGGCAGAAATTACTATGTACGTACATTCATTTTCAAATAAGAAAAAAAGACACTATTGAGAAAATAGGTAATTGATGAATGAGTATTTTTTATAATTGACATGATAAGTTGAAAGAAAGAAAAATCATTCAATAGAGAGGGGTTAATCCCGAGAGATATTTAAGTAATAATTAAGAGGAAAATAGAGGGGAAATGAAAAATAAAGATGAATTAATTCGCATGATACCAAACAAAAAACACCCCCCATGCTCAGGCTCTCATGAAATGGGGGCCTTACTAGTGTGGAAAGAGTTAGCCGTGAGTTACTAGTACTAGGCTTTACCCCTCCCCACCCCCGTACTTTTCTACATACTTGATTTCTGTGCGACAAGGTGAAAATATCCCCAATCCACCCGTCGACTATACTTAACCCAGGCTTTCATTTTCTATCCTTCTCCCATCTTTCATTTCCTCACCCTTCTGTGGCTTTTCATTCTCCCCCTTCTCATGGAATTTTTCTCTTCCTGGGGTGTTTGTGATTAGAACCTGTTGCAGACCTTCTCCGGTACATATCAAAGTTCCCTTATCGCTGTGGGGCATTCCCTTATTACTGTGGGTATTATCCGGTCTCCTACGTAATGTCCTCCCCTCCTTGTTGGGTGCGAACCAATCCGACTGTCGATCCGATCACTTCAAAGTAATGTCGCTCAATTCATCTGCTGACTTTCATTTTACGCTCTTTCTTAGGCCTGCGGAATCTTCTTGAAGCGTGCGATGTATGCTATATGCCCTTTTCGACTGAACATCTGAAAACAACCAAATACTAACCCGAACAACAATACAGACAGCTCTCACGCATGTGGATACAATTGCATGTCGAGCGATTTTGTAAAGGATGTGTCGTTGATCGATCGTCGCTCAGACTATCTGGATATACTCAGCCTTAGCATTGATCCTATATACTTGTTTCCCTGCACTTAACATACATTTGACACGAACCTTGTTCGAGCACCATGGCGACAGTCGTGGTACAGCAACAGCAGCAGACGCTGCGGCATTCAACCCCTCCACCCACGGGGATTTCGCCAGCACTGAGTCTGAATAGAAACCCTTCGCCGATTCCAAACAAACATCTGCCGTTCTGTCCGGAGGGTCCCGCCCCAGTCATATCTCAAAATGCATCACTATTGCACAAGGAGGAAATCACAGACCAGACATCTTCCATTCTATATCCACCGGATAGCTACAAGCAGCTGTCGAGCTCACCCGCGGTGTATTCGATAGATGCAGTTACTCTAGAATCAGCCCTAGACCATTGGGCTTCCCAGCCGCTCCCAGACCCTAGCAAGGTTTTCCCATGGTTACACGGGCTCCATCCCGACAACCATCTACAGTTGGGGTTTTTCACAAATCGGAAACGCTCTCTTCGTCGAATCCCCAGAGTTTGGCGGGGCATTACTATTATCAAGGTTGGCGGAGATCTAATCAGAGGGAGACTGAAAGGAGCAGTATCTCTCGATGAGGTCCTTGCCCCATCAACTACAGAGTTCCTTGCGGTCGACCCTCGGGAAGGGTTTTCTGTGCGCAACTTTCAGATTCAGACTGCGAAATTAGCTCCTCTGTCTGACATTGTCATCTACGGAGAAGATAGCGTTACCCGAAAGCAGCTACTAGACGTTGCAGGAAGAGTTGCAGCTGCACAACATCGTTGGAGAAGCAAGAATGATCTGGAACAGGTTTTACCGGTCTATAATACGTTCGTCCTCTCGTGTAAGTAGAGACTTGTCGCCCACAGACATTGGTGTCGGGCAAGAGCTAACCATCAACAGCTACCTTTTCCGAAGTCGAACAACGTGCCCCTGGCATCGTTGCCATTAACGCCCGTGGACAACTCACTGGCCACACTATGGATTTCTGTAGGTATTCCACCCCGTTTTTCACAGACCCAAGCTTAACAGAGGATCAGTTCAATGGGAACGGTGGGAAATGTGTGACATGTCCCGGGCTTCTGAGATTTCGACCAATGTCTGGCAAGGGCCAACCCCTGATTATCTATTAAGACCTGGGACTTGTGAGCCTACAACTGGAGAGTATTTTGATCTGTTGATTGAGGCGAGCGACTTTGCGAGCCTCCCGGGCCCTCGATTCCTGGCGAAACTGAATAAGCAACTCGATGATGGGCCCCAGCGGTTGGAGTTCCCTTCGTCTGGGTCTATTCTTCCGCCATCAGGTGATGATAGGGAGGTGGATGATCTCGTCAACACCGTGCGGTGGCTCTACTACTTAGCAAATCCAGACGAACCAGAAAGCCGACCGGATGCCGACGGGGATATCGCCATGGATCCTATTCCCAAGAAACCTCGCAAGATACTTATTCACTGCCCAGACGGCTATACAGAAAGCTCATTGCTGGTCATCGCCTACGTCATGTTTGCCGAGGGTGTGACAGCGCCTGACGCCTGGCTTAAACTCCACTGCGACAAAAAGCGGAACTTCTTTGCCTACCCATCTGACGTCACATTTCTAAGCGCAGTCCAGGCGAAGTTATTACACGAAAGCCCTGCGACACCAATAGGCAGTCTTACCGAGCTCGCTGACCCTCGCTGGTTCAGTTATTTCGATGGTTCGCTCCCCAGTCGCATCCTGCCATATATGTATCTCGGCAATTTATCACACGCAAATAACCCAGAAATGCTGTGGGCTTTGGGCATCAGACGTATTCTGAGTGTTGGCGAGTCAGTTACTTGGACTGATTCCGAGGTGGCTAAGTTCGGCGCGGACAATATTATGCACGTTACCCAGGTTCAAGACAATGGCATAGACCCATTGACTCAGGAACTTGAGCGTTGCTTAGATTTTATCCGTAAGTACCAGCTATCTGTCCCATGAGGCTATCGTCCAGAGTATAATGTCAACTAACATGATGGCACTGTAGGAAAAGGGAAAAAGCACGGAACGGCTACTTTAGTCCATTGCCGAGTAGGGGTTTCGCGATCAGCGACCATCTGCATAGCAGAAGTTATGGCATCATTAGGCCTTTCGTTCCCAAGGGCATAGTAAGTATTATTCAAGACACACTGGTAAGCTTTAGCTGACAGGAGTAGTTGTTTTGTTCGCGCACGACGGCTTAATGTTATCATCCAGCCACATCTGCGCTTTGTGTAAGACCCCCAAGTTCCGATTTTGTGCAGCTTATTTTATTGCTCATCACCTTTCCGACGCTTCGGCTAACGCAACCATTCAGCTACGAACTCCTGAAATGGGAAGAACTGCTGTTGCAGAGACAGAACAAGTCTCCAAAGAGAGAACTTGAATGGCCCACAGTGGCTCGTGAAATTGCATTGATGAACAAACCATACTCGAGATAAGCAAACA